TTGTCCTACAAGGAACCCTAAATATTTCGTTTGCCTTTGAGCTAAAGCACATTTTTGTGGGTTTGCCGTTAGACCAGCTTTTCTTAGTTCTGTGAGTACTGCATGAAGAGCTTGTTTGTGGTGTGCCCAAGATTGCATAAAAATGATGATATCATCAATATATGCGGCAGTATACTCAGTATGTGGGCCTAGGATTCGGTCCATCAGGCGCTGAAATGTTGCTGTGGCTCCATGAAGCCTGAACAGCATGCAGACAAATTTGTATAGCCCCCATGGTGTTCCAAAAGTGGTCTTAGGTCGGTCCCTGGGTACCACCGGGATTTGCCAGTACCCTTTTGCCAGGTCTAAAGTCAAGATTAATTTGGCATTACTGATGCGCTCCACCAGTTGTGTGACATGGGGCATGGGGAATGCATCAAAGACTGCTATGGCATTCAATTGCCGGTAATCAATGCATAGTCTCAAGGAGCCATTGGGCTTGGGTACGGGCACCAGAGGACTATGCCATGGGTTTCAAGAGGGTCATATGATCCCTAGTTCTAACATTCTTTTGACCTCTTTGCATATCTCATCAGAAAGATGATGAGGTATCAGTCACCATCTTTTTCGTACTATTGACCCTGGAGGTGTATGTATCAAATTATATGTGCCCCGAACCCACCTGGGCTCCTCTCTGAATACGTCTTTGAATTCTTTAATGAGGACTTGTATCTTGTATTTTTGCGCTGCCATCAGTTCTTCCCCGATCTGGATCTGGCTTTCTACTTTAGGTGTCCGGGTGTCTAGGGTGTTCTTTTGGAGGCCTAGGTCTTCAGATTCCATTTCTGTGAAAGCTACCCAGCCTTCGGGTTGGTGCCACTCACATAAGAGATTAATGTGGTAAATTTATCTCTCGCAAAGATGACCCGGTCAATGGATTTCATAATCCACTGGGCCCACCTTTCAGATTACCTTGAAGGGGCCTTGCCACTGATCAATAACTTGTGCATGGATGTGGGCAACAATACCAACACCTTCTGCCCTGGTTCAAACTCCCGTATCTTAGAGCGGGCATCATACCTCTCCTTCTGGTGGTGTAGCACCTGTTGCAAGTTGTCCTTAGCCAGGTTCCTGGCTTGTTGCATGCTGCATTGGAACTCTTGCCGATACAAAGTGGGGTCTCGGGCGTCCGTTGTGTTGTGCTCCCAATCTTCTCTCAAGATTTGTAGTAGGCCCCTGGGGCGGTGACCCAACACCAACTCAAAAGGGCAATATTTCAATGATTCCGAAGGGGTGTCTCTAAGGACAAACAACACCAAGGGGAGGAGTAGATCCCATTTCTGGGGGTCCCCTCTTATGCACCGATGCAGCATTTTCTTTATTGTCCTATTGAGCCTTTCCACCAGCCCATTTGTCTGTGGGTGGTACACTGAGGTGCGCAGATGTTTTATTTTTCGAGTACGGCATACCCTTTGTAGTACCCCTGACATAAAGTTATCCCCTTGATCTGTTAGGATCTCTTGAGGAATCCCTATCCTTGTGATCCACTTGATGAGCTCCTCTGCAATCTGGGGGACAGTTACTGGTCTTAGAGGCACCGCGTCTGGGTATCGCGTAGCATAATCCACAAGTATTAATATATACTGATGACCAGTGCTACTACTGGGCAGTGGTCCGATAACGTCCATTGCTGTCCTTGAAAAGGGTAGATCAATAATCAGCATGGGTTGGAGAGGGGCCCTCAGCGAGCGGTTTTCCCTGGCTTTCTGGCACTCAGGACAGATTATGCAATGGTGGGTCACATCTTCCCCTAATCCCGGCCAGAAAAACCACTGTGATATTCTGGCAGTGGTTCTATCTTGCCCCATATATCCCACAGCGGGGTTGGAATGGGCAAGTTGCCAAATGTTCTGCCGGAAATGGGAGGGTACCACAACTTGCATCTTTTTGGGGTTCCCCACCCCACTGGGTTGAACTCCGTATAAGAGTTGGTTTCTTACCTCAAACAGGGGTGCAGTCCCCAAGCTCGCCACCTGGTGGAGGGTAGGAGTGTCCAAGGCTGTCAACCTCAATTCTTGTAATTCTGTGTTTTCCTCTTGGGTTTCCCTAAACTGCCAACTGCTGGCCACATCATGTAGGTCCAGTATGTCCATGTCATTTACTGGCTCCCCACTGTCCTCAAGCTTGCTAAGCCATCTTTCACACTTCCACTGGCTCCTACGTGTCGTTTCAATGTCTTGGACCCTCTCCATCACATCGTAAATAGGGGTCTGGTCCCACCCAAGTAACATGTTGCAAGCCAGATGGGGAACCAAACCTACTAGCAACTCCCCGCAGTGTTCCATAACCCGGAGAGGTATCCACTGTCGGCAAACCTGTTTGGTCTCCTTGTGGAGGAAAGATACTTTCACTGGCTTTACCTCGTGGCCTTTGTGGGAGGCAACTAGGCTCACCTTCACCAAGGACTGAGTACATCTGGGGTCTAAAACTGCCCTGAAAGGGCGATTCCCAATCCATGCTTGGACTACTGGATGATCCCATATGGCGCCCTTGCCACCAGTCACAAAACTGCAATCCATGGGCTCAGCCTGGGTTTGTTCTTTACGTCCCTATACCGGTCCCCTACCCAAGCTATTGGGGCGCCATCTCTCTGATGAATTGCTCGGGCACTCCCTTGAAAAGTGACTGACCTTTCCACAATGAAAGCAAACCATATCTCTCATTGGACCCCTAGAGACAGACCGTCGCTTCTCCAGTTCCTTAGGGACTGAGATCAGAGGGGTGGAGCTGCGCCTTTCCCAGGAGTAATTAGCCTCTGAAGCCACAAAGGCCTCAGCCAACATCAATGCTTCCTTGCAGTTGCAAGGAGAATATTGCTGCACCTATTGTTGAATGCGCTCTTCCAAATCATTAAGGAACTGTTCTAATACTATCTTGTCTGCTGGGTGTCGCAATCGCACGATGCGAGGTTTATCTATTTGTTATACAAGTCCCGCAATAGTTGTAAAAGGAGCCTGGGCTGCTTCTCCTCCGACTCCTCCTTGGCCCTGAACAAGCACCTGCAATGCTCCAGGTTAACCTCTAATCGATACAAAATGGCAGCCTTAACTAGGTCATAATCACGGGCTTCATCTCTTGAGAGTGCCCTATATGCTGCCTGGGCCTTCCCCACCATGAAGGTCCCGAGCTGACTGGCCCAGTATCCCTTCTCCAGTCCTGTCATGATGGCATGATATTCGAACGCCTCAATGTAGGCTTCCGGATCATCATCCCTCATCATCTTTGGCATCTTAAAGGCTGTTAGACCATGCCATAGCCAATCTTGCTGACACTCCATCATTTGCTGTTGGGTGTCCATTATTTGCTGTTGTGTGTTAAGTATTTGCATCAGAGCTTGCAAATTCTGTCCCAGCATATCGGGAGGAGCCATGGCCACTGGTTGCATGTTGGGTTGTTTCTCTGGGGCCGGATTTTCTAGTCGCTTCCCAGCCAATGCACTAATTTGTGACTGTCTGGCCTCGAACAGCCGTTTGCTTGCTGCCTTGGCCCAGACGGTTGGTAACAGATGTACCGAGGTTTCTTGTAAACTCTGAGATAGATACTTATCACCTAGGTGGCCACCCCCAGACTCACCTGCCATGACTTTGAATGTAATTTCAGTGAGGGGGGCAAACCGCCAGGGGCTCCTCAGCAATGGGTAGTCCACTAGACGGCCATCTGTGGGGCTCCACCTCCCCTACACCCCAGACTCATGCCAACCTTCGGCGGGTCACTGGATCTTGAGTCGGCCGTTCCTCCAATGTAACTGCTCTTGATCCTGATGTTCTCTTGAATCTTGTGTCCCAAGCACTCTCTCCTATGGTGGTCCAACTGATCCACTATCTAGCCTAAGCTGGGTCTGTTGCTGCCCTAAGCTGGCTCAAACCGGAAACTGAAAGACCAACAGCAAAACGGAAAAAAAGGGGAAAAAAAAGGATGGAAAGAAACCACCCTGCCAGTGCCTCTATGCCGCATTCTCTTCCCTTTAACTGAGACTTCTTCTTAGCTAGGGGACCTAGTTCCTTGGTGTTGTCTATCCCGCCACACAACCCCTCCAAAAAGGGTAGAAAAAAAAGGAGAATGGAACAAAATTATGAGTTGGGGAGGTTCTGCTCCATTCCCTCCCTGGCCCTACCATTAGGATACGGTGGTGCCTCCTCATCACCCTCTAAGATTTCTTCACCCTCATCCACGCCAGTCAGTACTCCGCACCCAGTACTTGGGAACTCTCTGGGTGATGACCCATCGTCTGGCCAGGGGTGGCTAAGGCTCCTCTCCCTAGGCCATTATTCCCCTCACATGGAGTTGCTCCCCCCCGACATTGTCTGTGGCGTTCCGCTTCCAGTGCCCCACGCTCCTTTCTGCTCTGTTCGGCCTGTGTTCTGGGCTGCTGCCAAGCTTGGTACTGCCCTACCGGGCTTTCTCTTTTGCTGCCCACACCAGCCTCTGCTGGTGCAGAGAGCTTCCTCTGGCTCTCCTGCCTCCTGGGCACACCAGCCACTGCAGGTGCAGAGAACCTCTGCCGGCTCTCCCTCCTCCCAGGCACGCCGGTCGTCACTGGTGTAGAGAGCCTCTGCTGGCTCTCTCTTCTCCTGGATATGCCTGCCAGCACCGGCACAGAGAGCATCCACTGACTCTCTCTCCTCCTGCCCTCTCCAGCCTCCACAGGTGGTCCTTTTTGTTTCCGTCGGCTAGTGATTGCCAATGACATCACTGGCCAGCCTCAGCTGTATAAATGTGTGGCTTATGACCCGCATGGGTTCCCTTCTTCACTCTAGCTGTGCCGCAGGCCCTGCTGCAGGTAAGTGTTCTTCTTGTTTGTTTTTTTCTTTCATACATGGTCCCCGCCCTAGGAGCTCCCAGGGTATGGTTTGGGGCTCTTTCATCTGATTGCCCCCGTGACACTTCCTCTCTATGTGGCATTGGTCAGGCCGCAGCTGGAGTGCAGCACCCAGTTTTGGGTGCCACACTTCAAGAGGTATGTAGATAACTTGGAAAGGTTTCAGAGGAGGGCCATACATCTGATTAAAGGCCTACAGCAGAGGTAGACAAAATTTTTTGGCCAGAGTTCCAAAAACCCCCCAATGTCTACTTTGGAAGGTGCTGGAGTGCCAGCATGCCAGAAAAACAAAATGGGGGCGAGGGGTGGTACATGGCAGGACGCACTTCATATTAGTAAATTTAATAATCATAAATGTTGCCTTTCTTGTTGTGTATTCCTTTTTTGTTCAGAGAAAAGAGACAAATAAGAGAAAGAGGGGGGAGAGAGAGAGAGAGGGAAAGAGAAAGAAAAAGGAGAGCAGAAAGAGAACCAGACACACAAACATGCACACAGAGAACCACATGCACAAACACAGAGAACCAGAACACACCCAGAACAAACACATGTGTGCACACACAGACACACACAACCAGATAGAGGTAGACAGACACACAGAACCAGATGCGCGGGCACATGGAGCCAGGCTGCTGGGCCACTGGACAAAGTCTGACCCAAC